TCTCCTTTCAGAAGAACGCAAATTTGTAAAGTTAATAATATCCAATTTTGACCAGGTGTATAATAATAGGCACTCTTGTACATTATTGTGGAAATATAAATAAATACAATCGTTTTACAGGGCAATCTAGCAATATCTACCAAAATGTAAAATTCACATACCCTATAATTCAGAAATCCACCACTTCTAGAAATCTATCCTACAGAAATATCAACACCAGTACGTTAAAGGTATATGTACACTGATGCTCCCTGCAGCACTGTGGTAATTTTAAAGATTGGAAGCAAACTGGATGTCCATCAACAGGGAAATAAGTATGACACCACAATGCAGTGGAATACTTTTCAGCTGTTAAAAAGAAGAAGATAGGCTTGAAAAAATGTTCATGCCATTTTTTTTAGCGGAAAAAGGATAAATCAGTGTGCATGATATGATCCCATTTTTTGTAGAGAAAGTCAACAAAATCAAAGCTGGTTCTTTGACAAAAAAAAAATCAATAAAGTCAATAAGACTCTAAGCTAACCAAGAAAAAAGAGAAAACAAAAATTACTAATACCAGAAATGAAAGAAGAGATGTCACTACAGACCCCATTGACATTAAGAGGATAATAAAGGAATATTATGAACAACTCTATGCCCAGAAATTTGATAACCCAAATGAAACGGACCAATTCCTTCAAACCCACAATCTGTCAAAACTCACATAAGAAGAAACAGACCATGTGAATAGGCCTATATCTATTAAAGAAATTGAATCAATAAGTAATAACCTTCCAAAACAGAAAGCACCAGACCCAGATGGGGTCGCTGGTGAATTCCACCAAACATTTAAGGAAGAAATGATACCAACTCTTTACAATCTCTTTCAGAAGGTAGAAGCAGAGGAAATACTTCCTAACTCATTCTGTGAGGCCAGCAATACCCTAATACCAAAACTGGGCAAAGACGTTAAGGGAAAGAAAACTACAGACCGAAGTCTCTCATGAACATAGATGCAAAAATCCTCAACAAAATATTAGCAAATCGAATCCAACAATAGGTACAAAAAATTATAAACAACCAGCAAGAGGAACTTATCCCAGGCATGCAAGCCTGGCTCAACATCCAAAATCAATTAATGTAATCTGTCACATCAACGGGCTAAAAAAGAAAAACCAAATTATCATCTCAATAGATACAGAAAAAGCATTTGAGAAAATCCAACACTTATTCATGACAAAAAAAAAAAAATTCTCAGTAAACTAAGAATAGAAGGAAACTTCCTCAAGTTGATAATATCTACAAAAAGCTTATAGCTAACATCATAATGGTGAAAAACTAGACAACTAGACTCTTTCCTGCTAAGACCAGAAACAAGGCAAGGATGTACCCTCTCATCACTGACTTTCTTTCTTTTTTTTTTTTGATGAAGATTAGCCCTGAGCTAACTACTGCCAGTTCTCCTCTTTTTTGCTGAGGAAGCCTGGCCCTGAGCTAATACCCATGCCCATCTTCCTCTTATAAGTGGGATGCCTACCACAGCTTTTGCCAAGTGGTGCCATGTCCGCACCTGCGATCCAAACCAGTGAACTCCAGGCCAGCGAGAAGCAGAACGTGCGAACTTACCCGCTGCGCATCACTGATTTCCAATGTTGTACTAAAAGTTCTAGCTAATAAAATAAGATGAGAAAAGGAAATAAAATGTATACATATTGGGAAGAAAGAAATAAACTGTCTTTGTCACAGATGACATGGTTGTCTATGTAGAAAATCTGACAGAATTGAGAAAAAAGTCTCTTGGAACTGATAACCAATACACAAGGCTGCAGGATACGAGATTAGTATACAAAAGTCAATAGCTTTCCTATATACCAGCAATGACCAAGTGAAATTTGAAATTAAAAACATAATATCATTTATATTATCACTCCAAAATTTAAATACTTAAGTATTAATCTAACAAAATATGCACCAGATCTATACAAGGAAAACTACAAAACTCTGAAGAAAGAAATCAAAGGAGAACTAAATAAATGGAGAGATAGTCCATGTTCATGGACAGGAAAACTCAATACTGATATCAGTTCTTCCTAGCCTGATCTATAGATTCAACGCAAACCAAATCAAAATCTCAGCAAGTTACTTTGTGGATATCGACATTTTGATTCAAAAGTTTATGTGGAAAGGCGAAAGGCCTTGATCAGTCAGGACAATACTGAGCAAGAAGAACAAAGTCAGGAACCTGATACTACCCAAATTTAAGGCTTACTATAAAGCAACAGTAATCAGGACAGTGTGGTATTGATGAATGAATAGAAAAATTGATTGACAGAACAGCACAGAGAACGCATAAATAGATCCACACTAATGCAGTCAACTGATCTTTGGCAGTGTATAAAGTATTTTTCATAATTTCCAAAATATGTAAGCAACAAATATGTCTTTCAATAGGTGAAAGGATAAAAAAATCTGTGGTACATCCATACAATGGAACTCAATAGATACAGAAAAAGTATTTGACAAAATCCAATATCTTTTCATTATTGAAAATAAAAGACATTCAACAAACTAGGAATAGAAGGAATCTTCTTCCATCTGATGAAAGGCGCATAGTAAAAACCCACAGCTAACATCACACTTAATGGTGAAAGCTGGAAGCTTTCCCCCTATGATCAGGAACAAGACAAGGATGTCCATTCTCACAACTCCTATTCAATATTGTATTGAAGGTGTTAGTCAGGGCAATTTGGCAATAAAAAAAGGCACCTAGATTAGAAAGGAAGAAGGAAAACTATCTCTATATGCAGATGACATTATTTTATAGAGAGAAAAATCTAAATTGGCCAAAGAAACTATTAAAGCTAATAAAAGAGTTCAGCAAAGATGCAGAATACAAAGTCACTTGTATCTTTATACACTAACAATGAATAATCTGAAAATGAAATTAAGAAAAGTCCATTTATAATAGCATAAAATTAAAATACTTAGAAATAAGTTTAAGCAAGAAAGCATGAGATCTGTATACTGAAAACCACAAAACACTATGAAAAAAACTGAAGAAAATCTAAGTAAACAGAAACATATAGTGTTCAGGGATTGGAAAACTCAATATTGTTGAGATGGCAATACTCCCCAAATTGACCTATGGGTTCAATGCAAATACTATCAAAATTCTTTTTTAATTTCTTCATAGTGTCCTTTGACACTCAAAAGTTTTATAGTTTTAACTCTTACAGTTGGGACTTTAATCCATTTTTAGCCAATTTTAGCCAATTGCACATGATGTAGGAGTCCAAATTCAGTCTTTTGTGTGTAGATATCTCGCTGACCATGCACCATTTGCTGAAAAGGTCATTCTTTCCCTACCTAGAGGTCTTGGCACCTTGTCAAAAATCGCTGTCAATAGTACTCCCTTTATCTACATTTACAAAGTTGGAAAATCATGCTTCCTGGTTTCAAAGCTTACTACAACCGGTTGTACAGAGGTCAAAACAGTGTAGTGGCTAGCCTAAGAACAGATGGGGAGAAGAGTGGAATATAATTGAGAGTTCAGAGCTGAAACTAAAACACTCTTGGAAGGAAACATAGATACAAACCTTTGTGACCTTGGGTTAGGCAATGGTTTCTTAAATATGACGCCAAAGTCACAAGAAGCAAAAGAAAAAAGAATTATAGATTAGACTTCATCAAAATTAAGAACTATTATGTGTAAAAGGACACTATGAAGAAATTCAAAAGGAATGCACAGAGTGGGAGAAGCTACTTGCAAATCACATACCTGGTAAGTGTCTAGTATCCAGAATACATAGATCACTCTTACAATTTAATAGTAAAAAGCCAAAGAACCCAAATTTTAAAAAGGCAAAGGTTCTGAATAGATACTTCTCCAAAGAAATACCCGAATGACCAATAAACACGTGAAAAGATACTCAACATTGTTACTAACTAAGGAAGTGTAATCAAAATCATAATGAGTTACCGTTTTTTTAAAAAGTGGTTTATAATTTTTTAATATTTTTTTAAAATTTAATTTAAAATTTAAAATAAAAATTTTTTTAAAAAGCTAACAGCTAACTACTAACAACTGTTGGTAAAGATGTGGAGAAGCTGGAAGTCTCATACTTGACTGGTGGGAAAGTAAAATGGTGCAGCTCTGTGGAAAACAGCTTGGCAGTTCCTCAAAAAGTTAAACATAGAATTACCACACAACCCAGCGATTCCACTCCTGGGTGTATACCCAAGAGAACTGAAAATATATGTCCGCACAAAAACTTGTACCTGAATGTTCAGAGCAGCATTATTCATAATAACCAAAAAGTATAAATAACCTAAATGTCCTTCAATTGAGGAATAGATAGACGAAATGTGGTTTATCCATGCAATGGAATATTATTCAACCATAAAAAGGAATGAAGTAACAATACACACTACAACATGGATGAACTTTCAAAACATTATACTAAGTGAAAGAAGCCAGTCACAAAAGGTCACATATCGTATGATTCCACTTATGTGAAATGTCCAGAATGGGCAAAACCATAGAGACAGAAAGTAGATTAGTGGTTGCCAGGAGACGGAGGGAAGTAGGGAGTGAGATTGAGTACTAACAAGTACGGGATTTCTTTTGGGGGTGATGGAAAGCTTCTGGAATTGGGTAGTAATGATGGTTGTACAATATTGTGAATGTGCTGAAAACTACGGAATTCTACAATTTAAAATAAATAATAAATTTTGTTACATGAATTGTATCTCAGTTTAAAATAATAATAATCATACACAACTAGTACATTAATTAAATACAACTTTGATAAAATAAAAATACAACTTTAAAAAAATGCACTATCCTTTAAGATTTCTTCCAACTCTAAAATTACTATCTATCCTTGGTGGACCCCAGGGCCTCAGATGAGGAGACAGGCTGGATAACCAGCTCTTCTCTTGTGACCAGTGATGTCACCAGATTCTAACGTGAGGTCTTGGGTGGGAGCAGGGGGTTAGGGGCAGATCAAGCCAGAAAGCCAGGTGGTGGGAAGAGGAGGGATTAGTAAAGACTCCCTGCCTTTCTTTGAGATTCCACACAAGAGTCTTCCCTCATCTTCCGCTAACCTTCTGGGCAGGGCAGGGGTTTCAGCTTCTCTGAGCAAAATATGAAACAGAGAAGCACCATTTCTGCTCAAGACACACGTAAAGAGGAGAAGATATAGGTGAGTTCCTTTGAAAACATTTCAAACATATGTTTTCCTCTAATTCTAATAGCCTATACCAGGAGTTCTTAAACTCCAGGTGTCTATCAGAACCACCTGGACAGCAAGTAAATATGCAGATTCCTGAGCCCACCTGGAGACCTTCTGATTCCATAGGTCTGGGAATTTCAAAAATCTATATTGCTAAAAAGCTGGTCCGTGGATGGTGCTTTGAGTAAAACTGTCATATATAATGCTTTTCTTTTCCTTGTGCTAAAGAAAGTGGAGGGGTTTATTTGGTTACAGGCCATTATGTAAGGCATTGTTGTTATTGGTGGTTGGATAATTTAGAGCTGCATTTCTCATTCCAAATTATATTGAGGACCAGAAAGCCAAATTTACTCTCTTAGAGTCGAGGCGGGCCCCAGAGACCGGGAGGGAGAGCATGACAGGCGAAGGAGAACCGAACTCCTAGAGGGTAAGTCAGAGCAGTCTGGGATTTGTCATCCTTCTCCTTTGTATCCCCAACGCCTTCTAAGCCCAGACCAGGAACACCTCTGAAATTCTGAGTCAATGAATGAACAACCAACAGAAAAGTGGAATCGTTTTTGTAGATTCCTATATCCCTTTTATTTCTAGTTCGCTGAGAGTTTATGTCATGAATGGGTGTTGAGTTTTGTCAAATGCTTTTCTGCATTTATCAAAAAGGATCCTATAGCTTTTGTCTCAATAGGATGACTTAAATTGATTGATTTTCAAATATTAAACCAACTTCATATTTTGGAGATAAACACCACTGGGCATGATGTATATGCTTTTTAAATATATTGCTGGATTTGATTTGCTAATATTTGGTTAAGGATTTTTGTGTCTACATTCACGAGGGATATTGGTCTGTAGTTTTCTTTTATTGTAATGTTTTTGTCTGATTTTGGCATCAGGGTTATGCTGGCCTATTAAACATCTGAGAGAGTGTTTCATCCTGTTTCAGATAGTTTGCATAAGATTGGTGTTATTTATTCATTAAATGTTTGACAGAATGCACTAGAAAAATCATCTAGTTCTGGAGTTTTCTCTTGTAGGATATTTTTTATACTTAACTAAATTTCCATAATAGAGGTAGAGCTATTCAGATTTGCCATATCATTTCATGTCAGTCTTGGTAGGCTGAATTTTTAAAGAAATTTGTCCATTTCATTTAACTTCTTGAATTTATTAATAGAAAATTGATCATAATATTTCTTTCTTATTCTTTTAGAGTCCATAAGATCTGTAGCAATAACCATTCTTTCATACCTGCCATGGACAATTTGTGTTCTCTCTCTTTTTGTTCTCAACCAATCTGGCTAGTGTTTTATTACCTTTAAAAAAATTTTTTTCAAAGGACTAGTTTGGGTTTTGTACATTTTCTTATTTTCTATTTCTTTTTTTCTTCTTTTATCTTTATTATTTCCCTCCTTCTACTTACTTTGAGTTTAATTTGCTCCTCTGTTTCTAGTTTCTGAGTCACTGATTTAAGATCATTGATTTTAGACCTTTCTTCTTTCTAATATGAGCTATTAAAGCTATAAATTCCTCTCTAAACACTGATTTAGTTGCATCCCATGAATTTTGATATACGCTAATTTCATCATTATTCAGTCCAAAATATTTTACCATTTGCATTATGATTTCTTCTTTGATTCACAGATTCTTTAGAAGCATGCCGTTTTACTTCCAAATTATTGAGGCTTTTCTTGTATCTTATTGTTATTGATTTCTAATTTCTTTTGGGTCTTTTATATAATTTGTCTTTCTGTGCTGAGATTTCTTATCTTTTCGTTCATTATGAATATATCCCTTCATTCCCTTGAGCATTGTTATAATAGTTGCATTTTCACCTTTATTTGCAAATTCTAACATCTAGTTCATCTCAGAGTCAGTTTCTCAATTGCCTTTTCTTTTGAGTGTGGGCCATGTTTTCCTATTTCTTCATATGCTGAGAAATTTTGTATGGTATCCTGAATATTGTAAATATTGTGTTGTGGAGACTGGATTCTGTTTCATTCTTCTGAAAAGTATGGATTAGCTATATATTGTTTGTTTGTTTTAGCAGACAATTAACTTGGCTGGCTCAAACTCTAAACTCTGTCTCCCCTGAGCTGGGTGGCAGCTCAAATCTCAGTTCAGCTCTTTTAGCTTTCACTGGTGCATTCATGGTTCAGAGGTCAGTCAAACATTTGGGCAGAGTTTATGTACAATATTTGGGTCTGTAGCACTTTCCTATCTGTGATTTTCCACTCACACTCCAGTGGCTGTAGCTGCCCTAAATTCAGCCCTCTGGTTTTTCAAGACCAAGAAATTGTGGATTTTCTACTAGAGTTTTAGCTGCCACTCATAACCAGGTCATGCCTTAGGCCAAAGCCATCAAAATGGGAATTTCACCCAGTGCCATGCAGCTGTTCTTTTCTTTCAAAGGCCTAATTCCTTCCAGTAGTCGCTGTCTTTTGGTAGCTCAACAGTGCCCTCAGGAAGATTTTTGGTTTTGTTCCAGGGTTGATAGTTCTTATCTGTAGAAGGGTTGGTTGCCTCTGAGCTTACTCAGCCATTAGGGAAAGTGGAACCCAGTTATTTATCTTCTATACAATAAATAAATCAATACTGGATAACCTGGCAGAACACGAACTGAAAAGTTCTTCTACCAACCCATTCAAACTGCATTATTCAGGACCACACCTCAGGAAAATCTGGAAATGTGGGAGAAGCAGAAGTTAACTAGATTGGCCACTGATTGCCTGTCACTCCAGACCAGCCAGAGGACTTCTTTTATTCTGAGTTGAGGGAAAGCATGTGAATTCCACTGAGAGTTGAGATGTGTGATTATTCTACCATGGTGATGCAGGCAACACAGATCATCATCCAAGGAAGGCAGCCCATCTCTCTCTTGCTTTATTCTATATTCATGAGAGATGTTAAAACACTGAGAGTTACTTGTTTTTAGTAAATTAAAATAAAAACAGGAGAAGAGATCTTTTTTCTCAGGAGCAGCCATTTGATTTTGAGAAATTTCCAGCCATGAAGCTGGGATGCTGATGTTAGGAAGATGAGTTGGCCTGTATTGGTCCTGGGTCAGGGGAAAACAAGAGTTGTGCAGTAGACTTGGGGTCACCTGTATGATATGAAGGGTGCTTACAAGTCCCCTGTCCCAAAATAACTCTACTTCCAACTTGTCACACTACAGGAAATCCCAGGTATTTGTGTGATTTCTGATTTCATTGTAAACTATAAGCTTCTTGTAGATAGAGACTATTTCTTACTCATGTTTATAACCTAGAATCCAGCATCTGTCATAGTGCCCAGCATATGACAGTGATCACTAAGGGCTGTTGTATTGAGTCAGATAATCTCCTCTTTAAAACAAAAATACACAAGTTCTAAATATCAAAAAAAATTAAAAGACCATAGACACAATTGAAAGGTTAAAAGGCACAATGGGTTGACAAGACTAAGTAACATGCTCTTAAAAATCCCTAAGGTGGGCTGGCCCCATAGCCAAGTGGTTAAGTCCGCGTACTCTGCTTCAATGGCCCAGGGTTTCGCCGGTTCGGATCCTGGGTGCAGACACGGCACCACTCGTCAGGCCATGTTTAGGGAGCATCCTACATAGCACAGCCAGAGGCACTCACAACTAGAATATACAACTATGTACTGAGGGGCTTTGGGGAGAAGAAAAAAAGTCCATAAGAATACCATTATTATTTCAAGTAGATAAACAAACAAAATCCATAAACACTTTTAAAATGAGAAATAAAAGTAGACAGTAAACATACAGAACAACATATCTTCCTCTCTAGGAATCAGAAGAATGCAAAAGAAAACAAACTATATGTAACATTTTCAACTATCTTCACTTTGGTGTTTGGAGACACAAATTGACTTAACTATCTAAAATGGGATACATTTTGAGACCCACTATTATTCCTCCTATCCAAAGCTAAGTAAATGGGAAACTCAGGTTATTTCTCCAATTTCTTCCTCAAAAATACAAGGCCATTGATCCTGGGTTCCAGTCTTGGCTCTCCTTCCTGTTTACTGGCTTTATAACATTGAGAAGGTTGTCTTAACAGGCTAAGCTTCAGTTTCCTCTTCTGTAAAATGGAGGTGGTCATGCCTTACAGATAGTTGTGGGATTAAAGGAGCAGGGGAGTATAATGTGTTAGCACAGTGCCTGGCACATAGGACGTGATGAGAACTCTGGGCCCAGCAGTTTAATTTACCTCTCTCAATAAAAATTCCAGCTTTCTCTCCCTTTTCTCTCCTTGGCCTTCTAGTCTCACTGTTTCTAAAACCTCACTAACAAGAGGATTGAGTCAATTTGACTCAATGTTGTTTGCTTGGCTACTCCCCTCCTGTTGGACACTTAGATTGTTTCCACTTGCTGGCATCTATAAGATAGTCTGTAAACCAAACTCCCAAATGATAAAGCCTTCTGCTCTGAGAGTTAATCCTCTGTGTTAGTGAGGATTTGGTCTCCCAGAGTCTCAATGTTCATTGTAGTCTTGAGATTATTTCATACTTGAGTTTATATGAGAGATGTTTGCTCCATTTGTGTCCTCTATTTTCAAGAGATAGTGAATTTCCTGAAACAATCCTGCCATCAGGATTTCTATCCTCTATGGAAGGAAGGAAGGGAGGGAGCAGAGGAAGACAGGGAGGAAAGGACAGAGGGAGAGACGGAGGGAAGGAGGCAGGCAGGCATAGTAAATGCTCACTAGATATTTGTTGAACAAATGAAGGAATGACTCTGGGATCATTAGCACTATTTTATAGATGAGGGCCTGAAGTTCAGAGAAGTTAAATAGCTTGCCCAGGAACACAGTAATGGGCCCCAAATTTGATCTCAGTTCTTCGAATCCAGTTCCACTGCTCTTTTTCCTACACCTACTGGGAGACTGGTCTAGCCTAGTGCTACTCAAATGCCATTCTTCCAGGAGAAAAGGGGCTTGTGACATGATGTAAATTACTGAACTGCTTCCTTCATCCAGAAAGTCTTGCTAAGAAAAAATACTAACCAAACTAAGCAGTATGCTGAGTGACTTCATTTTCTGGTGAAAGTTCCTGATCTTGTTACAAATAGTTCACCAACTAGTAGCTAGTCCATGAACCACACTTTTTGGTAATATAAGTCCTACTGATCTCTAGCCTACCCACATGGCTTTAAACTCCATATCTCTACCGTTTCAGATGCTCTCAACGTCTAGATGGAGCCCTCAGGCCTCCCAGAGTCCACCACCCCTTTTGATTACGATCCTGAGAGCTTTCTGTGTGAGAGCAAGACCTTCACCTTTGCCGCCTTCAGCACCACCATCTTGTACTTCCTGGTGTTTCTCCTCAGCTTGGTGGGCAACAGCCTGGTGTTGTGGGTCCTGGTGAAGTATGAGAGCCTGGAGTCCCTCACCAACGTCTTCATCCTCAACCTGTGCCTCTCAGACCTGGTGTTCTCCTGCTTGTTGCCCGTGTGGATCCTGGGATACCACTGGGGCTGGGTGCTGGGAGACTTCCTCTGCAAGCTCCTCAACATGGTCTTCTCCATCAGCCTCTACAGCAGCATTTTCTTCCTGACCATCATGACCATCCACCGCTACCTGTCTGTAGTGAGCCCTCTCTCATCCCTGCGTGTCCACACCCTCCGATGCCGCGTGCTGGTGACCACAGCCGTGTGGGTGGCCAGCATCCTGTCCTCCATCCCCGATGCCATCTTCCACAAGGTGTTTCCTTCGGGTTGTGATTATTCAGGACGCACATGGTTTCTAGCTTCGGTCTACCAGCACAATGTCTTCTTCCTGCTCTCTGTGGGGACTATCCTATTCTGCAATGTGGAGATTCTTAGGACCCTGTTCCGCTCACGGTCCAAACGGCACCACCGGACAGTCAGGCTCATCTTCACCATTGTGGCAGCATACTTCCTCAGCTGGGCTCCCTACAACCTGATCCTGTTTCTGCAGACACTATTGAAACTTGAAGTCATCCAGAGCTGCGAGGTCAGCCAGCAATTGGATTATGCCTTGCTCATCTGCCGCAATGTTGCCTTCTCCCACTGCTGCTTCAACCCAGTGCTCTATGTCTTTGTCGGGGTCAAGTTCCGCAGGCACCTCAAAAGTCTGCTCCGGCACTTCTGGCTTTGCCGACAACAGGCTCCCAACCTTCCCCCCTTACCTCACTCACCAGGTGCCTTCACCTATGAGGGCGCCTCCTTCTACTGAAAGGGAGTTTGGTGGTAGGAGGTGGAGGTGGAGGATTGTCCAGAGGAGCTGGTGTGGGAGCAAGGAAGAGTAGGGCAGGAAGGAGCATCACAGATGGCACAACTTTGGGGATGCTACAGCTACACAGATGGGGATGAAAGAACTACATTACACTGGCAAGTCCTACCCTCTTCTGTGGAAAAGAGGCTCCCCACCTAGAAATTTTATATTGCCGTCCAGAAAACGTTTCTGGGATACTGAGTTCATCATTCATTCCTTCATTGATTCATTAATTCAGACATGGATTTCGTATCATTGCTTAGTTCAGAAGGTTCTACAACATGAAAGGATTCCCAGAAAAGAGCATCCTTCAAGACTTTAAGAGAGGCTGAAACTCAATGTGTGTGATAATTGCGCAGATGCACGCTGCTGGAAAGATGGTCTCTCCCTTTCCTGACTGTAGGGTTGTCCACACTGATTTTTGGAGGGAGTTGGCTCTGTGTTCCTCAGTGACTGCTAGATGAGACTCTCTGCAGGATAAAAGTAACCACATCCTCAAATAAGCATAGTCAGAATGAAATCTGGGTCCTAAACACTCACAAGTGGACTAGAGAAGTGTTCTTTATCATAGTTCCAGATTCTAGCACATGAACTGGCTCTTGCATATTTAGTCCATAAGTCTTTTATTGAAGGAATGAATGCAAAAGTACCACCTTCTACATGAAGCATTTATCTGGAGGAAATAAAGATGAACAAGATACAGTTGCTACCTTCCAGGTGCCAATAGTCCAGCTCTGAAGGCACAGATAAGCAAACACCCACCTCAGCAAAGGCATCCGGGGCGAAGATTCCTCCGACACCTCATCCTCTCAGGTGGACATTGAGCTGACACTTTGGAGTCATCACTTTCCGCCTACAATGTTCTCCCCTGCTTGGCTGATGGCACCAGCTTCCCCCCTGTCACCCACCCTCCAAACCTGAGTCATTTTTGAGCCCTGCATTTCCTTTCCCTCCACTCTCATGGCCAAGTCCTATTGATTCTGCCTTCCCAGTGTCTCTCAGAGTTGCTCTCGCCATTGCGTGTGCATGCTTTATCCCCAAATGGCCTCACTTCCTCGGCATCTTCCTGCTGCTCATCTCTTTCCCCACCAAGCTGTCCCCTGCGTTGACACAAGGTTAATTCAAAACACTTAGTGGCTCTGCATTACATACAAATGAAGCCCAAGCATCTTAGCAAGTCTTTCAAGGGTCCTACAATTTGGTGCCAAATCACTTCCATTCTTATCCCACCCAAAGCCCCCACCTCCAAGCAGCTTGGGATCCAACCAAAAAAGACCATTGGCATTTTTCCTGACACCCGTCTCCCCAGTCTCCTCTGCCTTTGTCATGTTGTCACCTGGGCCTGGAACACTTGTCCTTCTACTCCCTGACCCACAAGCCCTAGCTGAAAGGCCAGCTCCTTCAGGAAGCCCTTCCCAATCTGTAAAGCAGAAGAGCACTTTCTGGGTTGCTGTGGCATTCAGCTTATTGCCTCTAAAATAATATTTGTCACTCTCTGCCCTGTGTCCTAGTTATACACGTGCATGTCTTATCTCCCTGCCCTGTCAAACTGCAAACTGCCTGAGGGCAGTCCTGCACCCTGCCCAGCATGGGCCCCGGTGTTCTATCTCTGTGGACTGAGTGGGAGCAAAGAATGGCACCTGTTGTCATTCTTCTGATTTAAGCTATCCAGGGAGCCACGCTGTGGGACATATTCTATCGTCCTTGCCCCAGGCTGCTTCTTTACAGATAGTAATCTTTCTTCCCTTGTCGACACTCTCAGAGCACATTGCTTATCCCTCTCTGTCGCAATGGTTAGACTTGACCTTGCTTTTTAGTTAGTGGTACACATGCCTGCCTCTTACACTATTCCATAGCTTCACATCCAAGGGCATAGATACAAGCCATACTCTAAACTTTGCCATACCGCACAGACCTGGGCCCAATCTGTGAACCTGATTCAGCTCTGGAGTGGGGCCTTTGGAAAAGCTTCCCACGCAATTCTGATGTGCACTCCAGTTAGGAACATTTGACTGCAACTCCTTGAAAATGGGAATTCCAGAGTCTTCCACAGTCCCTTGAGTGGGCTTTGTACATAGTAGGTACTCAATATATGCTTGTGGAATAAAGCATCTACTAATACCCCCCTCAGCTGGAGCTGAGAGAGCTTGTAATGCATTTCCCCCTTTAGTTCCAGCTGCAATTTCAATGATCTATTTGCCATTGGGTGGCCAGCCTTGGAGGAGTTTGACCTGGCTGAGGAAGAATGAGCGTCTAGTTTAAGAATTAGGCCAGTAGCACCTGCTGGAGAGGGCTGGGTGATGCATCAGTGAAGGGATAAAGCTTTCATGGACTTTCTCACCAACAGGTGGGACCATCACTCACCATAATGGTAAGAAATAGTGAAAGGAAGGAGACAATGAGATAGTTGTGAGGTAGGAGCTAAGCCTATGGCATTCCAGTCAGGCTAATCATTTGGAACTCCTTCAAACTGATATTATAAAAATTTTGTTCAACTTTTATTCAGAGGGCAAGCTAAGCCCAGGGATCAGAAGGGCAGCTCACAAACCCGCTTGGCCAAACTAAAGTACCATGAGTTTTGAGCCCACTCTTCTTAGAAGGCAGGTTTAGGGGCCTTCTATCACTACAGAGCATGCCCTTTGAGAGGCTCGCTCCACTGTCACCTCATCTCATCTCATTCCTTCACATCCCAAGATGTTTATCTAAGTATTTTTTTCAACACATGCAGCCATATCCCTGGAAGCACTTCATTAAATACAATCATGTCTGTCTCTTTACATTTCTAGTGATGCTTTGGCATCCCAGGGTCATCTTTAAGAGTCTTCTCCTAATCTAGCTCCTTGGGAATCCAAGGGAAGAGGCACAGAGAAAGAAGGGTATGAATGGAAAGATAGAGGGGCATCCTATCAGAAAGGGAGCTGTGGGTGAGACTGCTGAAAGGAGCAGCCAGAGAGCTCACACAGGTGTCCACACTCCACATTCTCTGATCATACACTTCATTGGCCACAACTTTCTGCTTTCACCTCCCTCCACCTGCTGAAACCACTATTCAACCTCAACTGGACCTTTGTGGGTCTATCCCTCCCCCTCCAGTTGAAAACAGGTGCCCTGGGCACAGACCTCTTACCACTCACAGAACGTAACCACTCCACAGCCGTTCTCAGGCAAGATCCTCTTCACAAAATTCCCACCTCCACACTCTCTGGGACAAAATCAGGAAGAGAGGAAACTTGCTGATCTCAGAATAGGAACGTGCTTCCAAGCCGAGGGCAGCCCTAGATCTCAGATGTCCCCAGCCAAAATGGAAGTTTCTCAAGGGCGCAAGCCCAGTGTCATGTGTCTAGAACCTCCCTCTGTGCCCAGCGATGTTTGTGGTTGGTTAAGTGGATAGGAGATTATCTTTTTGGCTTTTTTCTATTTCCATTTCCTTTTCCTACACTTGCTTACATTACATCTTCCATTCAACACCAGGCACTCACCCAATAGAGGTCGCGTGAAATCTTCTCTAAGGCCCCACAGCCTGGACATCGTCTGGTTTGTTTGGAGTTAAGCTTTGTTGAACTCCTGACAGCTTTCATTTGTGAAGCTTGCCCTTGACGAGACAGTAAGGCCCATGAATATGAAAAGACCAATAGAACAGATCCCCAAAGTAAACCGTCTGAGAAAGCTCTTGGAATTTGAACCCTTGACGCAAACCCCAGATCCAAGCTCTTTTACTTGTCCATTGTGAACTCGGGCCACTCAGGGCCTCGGTGTCCTCATCTGTAAAACTGTATAAACGCCAACAACACAAAGACACACTCTGCCGACACGATGGAGGTGCGGATGAGGTCATGTTCGTAAAAGTACTCGCTTTGTCGATGATTCAGCCCCAGACAAATATGAATTACTATTGCAATCATCTCATAAAAACAGAAAGCATCATTGTATCATATGCACAAATAAAAGATTAGCATTATTGACTTACCTCTGGCTGGTTACATTCCGCTTATTTCTACCCAAGATCGCACTACAAGATTCCTAAAAGTTTTCTCTGCTTAAGTGGGATCTGGGTGAGGATTTGGGGTGAAGGGAGGGATACGAAAGGGTGATTGGAGAATACAGTGTGGAATAAGTCTGTGTGGGCTGGGATGGTGAGAAATTGGCTTCATTTAGGCCTTAGGCAAAATTATCCAAGACCCAGTCTATCTTGAGTGCTTTGTGGCTCAGTTTTCTATCCCTCTCTCTCCACCGGCCTGGCACCTAAGCCTTCTATCTCTAACTCCAAGGCTTTTTTCTGTTTCATGACACATTTGTATCTGAACAGGATCTTCCAGAGATCAGCCCCTCAATCAGAAGGAATGATACTACTTCCTCCTGGAAATTCCAGGTATCCTGAAACCTTGGTGGGAGATACTTCAGGGTCGAGGGGAAGTTTGGCAAGGGGAAGAGGAATTATACTAATGCCTTACCAAGTTCCTCTAAGTACAGAGCTCCCCTCTCCATTGTGGAGCCAGGCCAGATCTTAGGTGTGGGGTTGTTTCAATCCCCTTGCCGGGCCCCTCCCCAAATTCCTCCACAAAAGGAAGTGTGGCCAGAGGGACCAAAGGAGAACAAAGGTAGCCCAGTTGCTTGACTTTGACCATCTCAGAAAATCAGCCTTGAGCATCACTCATGGTTAGAAGAAATAGACAACAGAGGGCATGGGGAATTGAATGGGTGGAGGGATTAGAGACAGTGGGGGTGGGAGAGGGAGGTGTACCCCTCCAGGAGGGCCCCAGCCTCACTTGAAGAGGGCCTGATCTGTGCGAAGGCAGAGTGGAGCCCGTGTTGAGGGGAGTGAGATGGAAAAGATGAATGAGCCCCACTCTCAAGTTGGCCAGCCTCTAGCCATTCCCATTTGGGGAAACGTTTCCGTAGGATTACTCCAGATGACCTAGATGAACCTTATTGACTGAGACAAAATGATCTGGCTTGATTGTCCATACAACTAGGAATGCACACTTTAAACACGTCTTTGAAAATATTCCAGGGCACTTGGAAGTACCCACATTTATTTACTCCCCCAGCTTTGGTTACAATTGGTTCAATAATCTGCCTGATCTTTTCCAATAATAAGGAAAATGTGAGTTTTAAAAACAGCAACAACATTGAACATTGCTAATTTTTCAAAGTATCTTCTGTTTATTTCAAAACTAGAGGAAACCCACAAACGTTGGCCTTGATAGGAAATTACATGCGCTTATCTGGTTGGGTCCTTAGCAAGCCACTTCCCCTCATTTGGAGTTTCTTTTTTCAACTTAACTGGAGAGGTTTGAACTCACTGATCTCTAAGATCCCTTCCCGTATTAAAAAATGAAGTCTATGAGTCTATAATTTCATGAGTTGCATTTCCAGTACCTCTGAATGTGACCTTATCTTGAAATAGGGTCATTGCATATGTAATTAGTAAAGATGAGGTCATACTGCCATAGGGCAGGCCCCTACCCAATATGACTAGGGTCTTTATAAAAAGGGAAAAGTTGGACACAGACACGAACAAAGGAAGAATGCCATATGAAGATTGGAGTTACACTACTGCAAGCCCAAGAACACCAAAGATAGCAGCAACCACCAGAAGCTAGGAGAGAGGCATGGAACAGAATCCCCCTCACAGCCTCAGAAGGAATTAACCCTGCTGACACCTTGACCTCAGACATCTGGTCTTGCAAACTGTGAGACAGTAAGTTTCTGTTGTTTAAGCCACCTAGTCTGTGGGGCTTTGTTATGACTCTTTGAGCAGACTAACACAGAGGGCAAATTTCAGTGAGTATATGGGGAATTCCAGTGCATCTCTTATCATCCTGTGAGGTTTCCGTGTCTACCTCACCCACACAGAAGATTGCACCTAACTGAAGACACGCACAGGAGGCTGGAAACTGACTTTTACTGAGAACTACTCTGTGCTGGGCCCATACATTTCCACATCTCAGGTTTCTGTTTTCCCTCTTAGACCAAGGAGAACATCAGGTCAGAGAGGTCACACTCCAACATCCAGGGCGTTGTTCTCAATCCGGGCAGTATGCTAGATCACACGAGCAGCTTGAAAAAATAGTGATGCCTGGGTCCCCCTTCTCCCTCATCTTTCTCCCCGAGATTCTGGTGCAATTGATCTGGGAGTGAGATCTGGCATCAAGATTTTTAAAAGCTCCCCACGTGGTTCTAATATAGTGCCAAATTTGAGAACCACTGATCTAGTGTATTTATTCATTCATCATTCATTCAATAAATATTTATTGAGTACCCACCATGCGTCAGGTGCTACGCTATGTGCCTAGCACATATTATGCCACATTTTCACAACAACTTTGCAAGGTAAGCATTGTCTCTATTACTCTGATGAGAGAAGGGAGGCTTGGAGAGAGAAATGACTTGCTCAAGCTCATGGGGTTCGTTAGAGCCAGATCAGGGGTTTTCAATTCAAGTCTATCTTGTCCGCAAATATCTACTCTTTCCACCGTAGTATGTCGCTTCCCCAAACAAGGGATGTATCCATCAGAGCTCTTAGCTATAGTCAACAGAAATCACTTCTCATTGTCCTGGCAGGATAGGAATCTATGGAAAAGATACTGGGCATGATTGCATTGTGATTGTATCAAAGATATGTCAGGGTACAGGGTTATGATGTCTATAACTACATCACAAATGATTCAGCAAAAAGAAAAAAGAAAGAAATGTGTATAATTATACATAAAAATGGGAGAAATAAAATACAGAACAGTTTATACTTAAAGAAAGAGAAAAGATGCTAGGCAGCTTACAAAACTGATGGAAAGGTGGGAGAAACAGGTAGGACAAAGGGAGGCTGTCTCCAGCACAACCACTCCAGAAGCCAGAGGTCCCAGCAGCTTCAGAAAGCCTTCTCCCACCCACACTGCACAGAGACTGCACACCTGGTGCATGGACTGAGCCAAGGCCACACGCCCACCCTCTCGCCCCATCGGAGCTGGGAAAACAAGCTCAGGAGCTGGGAAAGCAAGCTTGGGCTACCTTGGCTCCTGTAGAAGTGGGTTCTGCCTCCCACCAAGACTCATGTGGTGGGAAATTACCCCAAGCTAGGGAAGAAGTCCAGCCACCAAATCAACAAATGGCCACTGCCTGTGGGGAAGAGATTGCTGAGGTTTCGCTACTGCCCAGCCTTGTTAAGCCTAAGCCAGCAGTATAAAAGGCCAGAGGTGCCCATCCAAAAACACTTTAGGAAGAAGGCTTTGACAGTATGATCAGACCCCATCCCAAACTGCTCCTTTCAGTACTTCTGCCCTCTGCTCAGGGTAAGAGAACTACTCAATGAGACAGTGATGCTCTTGGAAAATGTCAGGCTCAATTATTCTCTACAACAGTGTTATTGAGAACTTGTTGCACAAGCAATATTGGGCAATGATGTACTTAAATCCCTCTTAGGTTCGCCTTGAGAATTTGCGAGCTTTAGTGGAAAGGGCACTGAATTAGAAGTCTGAAGACTAAGATTCTAGTTCTAACTGTGCCACTAACTGGTTGGGTATGCTTCTGCAAATAGCAATGATGATGATTATGATGATGATGATGGTAGTGGTGGTGGTGGTGGTGATGATGGTGATGATAGTGATAGTGATGACGATAATGGTGGTTGTGGTGGTGGTGATGGTGGCAATGATAATGATGATGGTGCTGATGATGGCAGTGATGATAGTGGTGATGAGGGTGGGCAATAGTGATAATGGTGACAGTGATGATGACGATGTAGCCAGCAATTATTCAGCACTAACTTTACATCAGGTACCGTATTAGAATGCTTGTCTTGTCTTAGCTCATTTAATATTCACAAAAATCATTTGAAATTGCTATCACCCCCTTTTACAGATGAAAAAGATGAAGCATGAAGGGGTTAAGCAAATTACCCTAAGTCACACAGTGAGGTGTGAAATATAAGCCTTCAGGTCACTGCATTGTGCCTCCCTATATAAGCCTATCAACATTTCTAGGCCTTAGTTTCTTCATCTGTAATACAACAAATTAGATCATAGGTTTTTAACCAGGGATGCCTGACAGAATCACCTAGGAAGATAGTTAAAAATATGCATGCCAGGGGCCGGCCCGGTGGCACAGCAGTTAAGTGCGCACGTTCTGCTTCAGTGCCCGGGGTTCGCCGGTTCAGATCCCAGGTGCGGACATGGCACCGCTTGGCAAGCCGTGCTGTGGTAGACGTCCCACATATAAAGTAGAGGAAGGTGGGCACAGATGTTAGCTCAGGGCCAGTCTTTCTCAGCAAAAAGAGGAGGATTGGCAGCAGATGTTAGCTCAGGGCTAATCTTCCTCAAAAAAAAAAAAAAAGTAATAATAATATGCATGCCAGACCCTCACCGTCATCAGAGATTCTAATTCAGTAGGTCTGGATGGGGCCCAAGGCTCTGTATTTTCAAGTACCCAGGTGATTCCAATGCCCCCAGATGAGAACCAGTGAACCAACATATCCTCAGAGGTCCCTTCCATCTCCTCTGGTTTTATATCTGCATGAATCAGCATGTGTTTCCTGGAATACCAATCCCTTAACGTGCCTCTAGACCAGCAGTTCACAGGGGAGATCAGCTGGGGAAATGCTGCTGCCCTGTCTCCATCTTAGGAACTCCCAGTGCTGCCCTGGCCACTCTGGCCTGAGGCTACTTCACAAGGTCATACAGTGATGGGTTACCAGAGAGTGGGGATGCCAAGCTCCACATGACTCAGCCCCTCACAGAAGAGCTGTCAATGTGAGCTCAGGACCAGGGCTGCTGAGTTCTTCTCCCTGGTCTTCCTTGTGAAGGCACCCTGCTGTTGTCCCTGTGCCAAGACACTGCAATGAATCTTCTTCGGTCTCCACCTGCAGCCCCAGGTTGTGCCACCTCCCTCAGGCCACTGGCTTGTCCATCAGTCTGGCTTGGAGGGACTGGAACAAGGATGAAGGAGTGGGGAATCAGCCTTCTCAATGCTGCT